GAGACACTACCGTGTCTCCAGATAAGTGTGAATTTGCAACAGCGATTGAATAGTGTTCAATTTACCATTTTCAGGCAATGATAAATAATGATAACGTGATAAATAATTTTGAATTATATTATTGAATAAACTGGAGCGGTTAAATCACTCTTTGCAATATCTCTCAGTAACGATTTCGTAATGCAAGATATCGAATTTTTAACATCCAAGTTGCATCATCCGATTATCGTAAGTGTGACAACGATATCTTACTATTCTTACTGCATTTCGCCTACTCATTGTATCTCTATTTGATATGATTAACTCTCGTTTAACATATATACACACACATCAACAAATTATCTGTTCACCAACAATAATCCGTTCGAACACAGAAAGGGAAATGAGAAATAATTAGAACTCTAATTAGAAATGAGAAATAATTAGAAGTAATGATAGCAAGTTTTAAAATAACAACGTAAAAAAACTTGAAAAAAGAATTGTCGCACACATTCTCCATAACCGTAAAACGTACCGTATAAGAATGAACCAATCAGTCAAGAATTATCAAAAATTTTCAATTTTCTTTGCTTGATTAATTCTTATGATACGTCTTATAAGCCTATGGCACGTATAAAAACATAAGATAGTAAAGACGTAAGCAGTAAGTAAGTTGGCTAATTATAGTGGAGAACGTAAGATTATTACCTAATATGTTCTACTGTGATTAGCTGATTCGCCTACTGCTTACATTTTATTACCTTACATTTTTCTATGTGTTTCTGCACTGAGAGAAAACAAAATAGTTCCAGCAACTATAAATTTGGCAACTTTTGCAATTGAAGTACCTATAACTAGTTTTACAAAGTAATAGAAACTAAAGTAGTGCTGAATATTATAAAAATATAGTCACGATAACAAATTGTATGCACTATTAATTGGTAGTGAAGTAGTGACTCAATTACATTGAGTAGTTACTTGGACTTCATGCAAATAGATATAACAATTACATTTTTCTAGTTTAGACAAAAATTTTTAAAGTGTCACTCAGTACGAATAGTACGCGGCTTTGTCACCAGAGGGACGTAGCGGAGTTCAGTTTCTCCTAAGAAGGAAACCACTCGTTTACAATAAAAGGCGCAGCGTTGGTTTCAAACTTGGAAGACAAAAATAAATAAGAAATGCACAAATTTGTAACTATGTATTATAAAGCTTTAATAACAACAATAAGTAAATTAAGTGAACTAAGAAAATATAGTAATATTAACCATTTATAAATTGTTTATATGGTTAATGTAATATATATGTATATTTTCTTAGTTCACTTAATCTAGTATTCTTATTAGAATTTAATAATATGTATATAGTTGAGGCGCTATTTCACTACAAATTTATAGTTACTGATACGACTTTTTTCTCTGAGTGTGGTTTTAATTTCAGAACTTATCATTTCCCAGCTTATCATGTATTGTCCCGAATATTTGTATTGAAACAAAAATTACTTTTTAATCTTAAGCGAATTTGTAATATTGCAAACTTTTAATAATAAAATCTAAAAGTATATAAAAATTCGAAAGGAAATAGGGCTACGAGCCAAAGATTAATCATTGTGAGTTAAATTATTAGTATAAACATCATAATAATAAAAAACACTTTAATGTCTGCTATAAACAATGAGTGACAAATTAAAGACAAATAAAGAATAAAGAACAGAAGTTTCGATCCTTATCGGATCTTTATCAATTTATATTATCTCAGTACAGACTAATGATTACACGATTTTTCACTCTCTTCGCATTGCTTGTCTATTAAGACCCACATAAATTATAATCATGCATTTATACGGAGGAAAATTGTGTTACCGTTTTCCATTGCACCATGCTTCAATTATGTCATCTGAATTGTTAATATGAGATCATAGTATAATTTTTTAATTTAATTTAATTTTATATTTCAACATTGATAAGAGGATCCGATAGGGATCGAAACGTCTGTTCTTTGTTCTTTATTTGTCTTTAATTTGTCACTCATTGTTTATAGCAGACATTAAAGTGTTTTTTATTATTATGATGTTTATACTAATAATTTAACTCACAATGATTAACCTTTGGCTCGTAGCCCTATTTCCTTTCGAATTTTTAAATTTGTTAAGTCTTATTACTATTATATACTAAAAGTATATATTTAGTTTAATTAGCAATTTTTTACCGCGAAACAAAACGTAAGAATATATGTATGCATTGTAAAATTATTATCCAAACAACCGTAAAAAAATACGAAATTTTCATGTTTTTTAACATTTTTAAATCTTGTAACCGACAATGAATATGACTAAACCGACCTAATGCTAACACACACATAGATAAAATATTCTATCTCAGCACAAATTAAGAACTAGCTCAGCAAGTTTCGAAAACCTGAGCACTAATGTATTTCCAGTAAAGTAGCGGACTCTCCAAGAACGATGAATACGTAAGAGAATTTAGACGTAAGAAGCTCATTCATTTGCACTGAAGTTTTTCTTTAATTAAAATTCTTTAATTAAAAAAAAAAGAGAATGGAGAAACCGATAGTGACTAACAGCGATATCAAAACCAATGAGGTAAACACTATTATATGACATTATAATTAAAATTATAAAAATATTGTTTGGTCCAATTCTGCCTTTTTCTAAAAACATTTCTGTGATAAAGAAAAAAAACCTAATTCCTTTCTATCTTCATTTAAAAAAAAATATTTTGTTATGTTTATGAATAATTTATTATATTTAATATAAACGCATTCTATTATACGTGTAAATTTCAAATATATAATCTTAATTATTAAAATATTCTCTCTAAAAATTTAAATTCATTAAATTATTAATGATTAAATTTATTAAAATTATTATATTAAGTTTTTTTTATTTATAATTTCCTTTTTTATAATCCATAATGCAATGTAATCAATTATAGCGGCAAGCTGGAGACTTAATTTTAGCTCTTAAATATTCTTGTGATGTTTTTGTCAGAGAGACATAGTTATATCTATGAGATTATATTAACCTTTTTTTAAAATTATTTGATAGATAAAAAGCATTTTTCAAGTCGTCACAGTTGTATGATATAATTAATTTTTTAATATTCTAGCATTATATATAAAATCTATCGGGTCTCCTATAAAAGTTTTAGTACTTCATAATTGTTTTATAACATACATATATTCAGAATTTTCGAAAACAATATATTTTTACATTATTAGTGTTATCAATATATACATTGTAATTCTGTCTGTTTTCTTTTATAATTAATTTAAAGAAAGAATAAAATAATTGTAAAGAAAATCATAAAGCCTAAAGACGTAAAGAATTGTGCAAAAATATCTAAGGATTAAACAATAATATGTAGTTAACGTTAGTGAATATCTCGATTATATCTATTTCTGTGTCTCTCTCACGAATTTAAAATTAAGAGCACTATTTATATTTTCTTTTTATAATAGATAAAACATTGGAAATAGTTCGAAAGATCAAAATTATGTAGATAACACAAGAAATGATGAAACAGTGACTACATTTCACAAGATTGATACTTTGTGATATAGGCTGCATAATATGCGATATTGAACGCGTTTCAATGTGTGTAATAGAGAATGAGATTGTGTGTAATAGAGAAGAATTTATATATAAATGATTAATTGAATTAGCTGTGCAATTGCAATTATAATTACAATTTTATAACTCTCTTATTTTTATTAGCATAAATTTTAAAAAGTGTCGATCATATTTTTACATTTATTCGTTAGTTTAATTCATTAAGTATAATCCACTGTCCTCATTGAAGGGCAATCACGTTTTGGCACGTTGAATCCTGAATAAGGGACTTGCTTATGTCTTATTGGTGTAAACAGATCTCTTTTTTAGTTATAGTCTACTTCTCAGAGGTGATACATATTTTTTTAAATTATTTCTATCAGTAAGAAAATAACAAAAAAAATTAAGAAAGATAAATTGGGCATTAATGAGTTGAATGTGGAAATGGTTTTCTACTATTTATCTATACTCTATAAAGAACCTATACTCTACATTTTATAATTTTAACATACATTGTTAATAAACAAAATTATCCTCGAAATATATGTTTCAATGTTTACTTTGCAATTTCTAGGCGACACCACGGATGGAACCTTCCCATACAAACAGGGCGTGTAGAAAATATTTCGGATGGATAAAACATGTATCAGTAGAGCCGACTATGTGGCTCTACATGATGGCGTTTATGTTCACATCGGTCATAGAGCAAGACTTATTTAGATATAAAGCGTGTCGAGTGGATCATGGTTACTCTGAAGAAATTTGTAGGCACCTAAATGATGACGATAATAAAGAAATAAAGACCAAAGTACAGGTAAAACATATTGTACCATATTTAAAATAAAAGAAAAGAAAATAATATATTATAAAAAGAGGAAGAACGCGCGCATTATATTAAACTATTGAAGCATAATTTAATAGCTTGACATTATTTGGAACAAGTGCTTAGTTATTAAATGCAAATATTCAGCTGACAATAGTACTTGTACGAATCTCATTTGCAACTACAACGTAAGAAGTTATTGAGGTATAGATAATCAGTGAAAATATAATTGGGATGTTATCAAAACAATCATAGCTGCCAAGCTAAATATTAGCATGAGATACCCACGCAACAAAGATACGTATCATGCAACACGTAAGAGAATATATTCAAGATATATTCGAACATATATCTTCGCACTTATTTTATTTTACGAAAACTTATATATTAAAAACGGAAGATTAAATAAAATGCTTAAGAGCTTACACGGAGAAAACATGTACAATCTAAAAGTTAACTTCTTTTTGTAATAGTTAGTACATGAAAAACAATTGCTAATGAAATCAATGTTTATTGAGCTGATAAATCAAAGCACAAATTGATTTTTGTATTTTTATACATTTTTATAATGAATTAACAAAAACAATTCATTAGCAAATTCAAAATTAATTTCAAAATGTAAATAACATTGCTGAGGTCGGAAAAAATTATTAATTTATTCAACAAAGAGAGTCGAAAAAATGTTGAAAAGTTAATAAATGTTTTATTTATTATATAAAAAATTGCTTTTAATTGAACAAATCATCATAAATTGGAAATAAAAAATTTATTTAAATATTAAAAAATTTAATATATGTATATACATTTATTGCAATTATTTAACCTATATACGCAAATTAACTAATCCTATATATATAATTGAAATGAATAATGTTTCCAATGAAATAATTAAACGTTGCTGTGCGAAAGGCAGAGACTGCTGCGCGTGTAAGCAATCAGTAGCGTTTCAAACAGCTATCAGTGCTGCGCGCACAGTTCTGAGTACTGTGAATACTATTCAGCGCAGCTGTGATTACTGTCCAAATAGCGATGATTAGCGCGCGCACGGTAATTATCGCTGTGCAGTGAATATTTTTTATCGGTACAGTAATCGGCGCTGCGCGATTTAGCGATCATCGCTGCGCAGTTTTCTCCGTGTAGGTAGTTTTATGAACATATGATATTTCAACCATCTTTTTATCACAGTTTAGGGTAGCACTTTTTATGCTGAGACAATAATTGATTTCCACTTTTCAATTACGTTTCATTAAGAAAAGATCATTTTGCAGATGACTGTCTCAGAATTTCATCAATGGAATGACATTGCTGGACACGTGGTGCCTATTATCTTGGCGATGTTCTATGGTAACTGGAGTGATCGGCGTGGACGTAAATTGCCACTTGTCCTCGGTTTAATAGGCAAATTTGTTTATTCCTTCATGATCGTGATCAATTCCATGATAGATACTTGGAATCTGAACATGGTGGTGTACACGGCGACTCTGCCGATGAGCATTCTGGGCAGCGATGTTGCGATCTTCGGCAGCAGTTTCGCATACATATCGGACATAAGCTCCGTGCAACAGAGAACCATGAGAATCACGATCCTGGATGTCATTTATCTCAGTACCATGCCCTCGGGTAGAGACAAGCACTCTCAAAACAATTTTATCCACGGATAATTTATTAAATTATTTGAACAATTATCATTAAAGAACTTTGATAAATTTGAATAAAGATTATAAATTTTTAAGACGTCTTCTGAACTTTTGTATCGTTGAGATAAATACAATGTTGCCAACATTATCATCGACATTAATTTTATCGACTCAAAAATCGTTTACAGAAAAAAAATATTTTACAAGAAATATTGAATATTTATTGTAAAATTTAATTATTATAAAACGAATTATGTAATAAATAAATTTTTATTAAAAAATTGTATAATAAATATTCAATATTTATTATAAAATTTCTTTTTTCTATAAACGATATATTAGTCGTTAAAATTAATGAATTGTCGTTGATAATTATTTCACTACTTTCATTTTACAAATATATCCGCGGTTATATAAAAGTCTTCGCAATCTTGTAACGTTTAAATAATCAATTACGTTTCTTTTCATTCGCAGGAATTGCACTTGGATCGTACGTGTTTACACATTTGGTCAACATGTCCTACACGATTATGTTCACTGTAAATGCGACTTTGCTCTTAATAGCAATTATATATGCGCTTGTGTGGCTCAAATGGCAAACGTCACCACGACAGCAACCGCTTTCGGACAATAATTGGCTGCTAGACTTCTTCGACATGCGACATGTCGCTACGACAATACGAACATTGTTGAAGTCGAGGCTCAATCATGGCAAATTACACCTGTGGTTGCTCCTGTTGGCGATGTGTCTATATACATTCCAGAGGGATGAAAAGGCCAAGAGTCAGATGTATACCTCGCTAATCTTTAACTGGAATGTGACGGATTTTAGTAACTTTAAAACATTCCAGTCAACTCTCTTCGTATTAGGTCAGTTTAACGTACTATAAACTTGATTCAAATTAGTACAATCAAATTGACATTTCGCAAATCTCGACGATATCAATTCGCAATGAGTTTAGCGAAGTGAAAGGAGAAATTTCTTCTTGAAATCGCGAAAACTTTCACTTTTAGCTAATTCATGATCTTGATTACTAATGATAATAGAGAAATTATGACCCAATTGCGAAATTGAAATCGATCTTGTAAAAAATTCAACTTTTTTTGTGTAAGAGAACGTATAAAATAAATTATTATTATTACGTCGTAATTGGATTTGAAAATTTTTCTTAAGCTATTTTTAGATATTCAAATTTTTTTAACTTTAGCATTTTTTTATAACTATAAACGTTTTAAATAAATTAATAAATTCAGATCTTAATACCACCATAGTAGTTCATAAAAATAAATAATATTCTTATCCTCATATAAAAATATTTTAATTATATAATTATTCTTACATAAATACTTTAAGTGCTATTAGAAAGTATGAAATACTTAAAAGAACTTTGTTCCCACAGCAATGCTCATTGGAGTGCCTATCATGAGTAAATTAATAAGAATGAAGGACACTTTCATCGTAATGATTGGAGCTGCAGCGCACGCAGCTGGAAGAATAGTATTTGTTTTAGCGAACCGGCCGGAATTATTTTATGTGGGTAAGTAATATGATCTTTCTCGACTATATCAATCAAATTATTTCTGACAATGAATATTATACGGTATCATTATCATTCAAACTTTTTAATAAAAATATTATATGCATATATATTCAAATAATAAAGTAATTAGAAGTTATTTTACAATAATTATTTTTCAGGTGCTACTGTCGCTGCGTTAGGACCAGTGGTAGCTCCAGTACTCAGATCTATGACCTCGAAACTTGTGCCTATAGAGGAACGAGGTGCGTGATAGTAACACTGTCAGACAAGATTTGATCTTTTTCGTAATACGAATGTGAGCAGTCACATTCCCGTGTTTTTACTTACTAAACGTAAATCCGTTGGTCATCACGTCACAATTATGAAAAGAATGGCTTCAAAGAGGCTAGAAATGATAATTTTGAAGATCTTCATGATGTTGTAGTTTCGGCAGCAAATTTTTTGAAAAATTTTGTTAATGGCACACTATCAACTTTTAGCTCTAAACTGCAATTTGTTTTGTTTCGGTATAATTTTTTATTTTTGAAATATAGCAATTTTTAAATAGTTCTTTTCCTATATAATACATGAAAAAAAGCATTTTGTTTTATTTTAATAATGTATTATGTGAAAATAAGTACCTACTTCAGTAGTTATATAATATAATCGGATGTTAAATAAAAAAATAATATGAAACTGACAAAATACAATATAGCAGGAAAATTATAATTTTCATTGTGTTCGATTCAAGATTATAATCTTCCTATCATATTGTAATATATGTATATTTGTCAACTTCATGTTGTTTTTCGATTAGTACAATCTGATTATATTATGTAAGTACTAAAGCACTTACTTTCCACATAATGCAAAATATTAAAATAGAATAAAATACCTTTTCTATTTATTACATCATGGAAAAAGAACTATTTCGAAATTGCTATATCTCAAAAATCATACCAAAACAAAACAAAATTTATTTTAAAGCTAAGTTAATACTTTTGAGTGGCATTAACGAAATTTTAAAAAACAATTTACTACCGAAACTAACGTCAAAATTATCGTTTCTTACTTCCTTGATACCACTTTTCCTACAATTATGATCATGACAGCCAAATTTGGCCAACGGATTTGTATTCAGCAGACAAAAATACATCGAAAATAACTACATAACCATTGAAAAATAATATTGGACAGTGTTAATTATTGCAATTATTTTTTTACTCTATGTATAGATTAAAACCAATTTAATCCCGTTAGATTAGTACTTTTGGTACTATAAACATGGAAAATATGTATATTTTATACTAGAATCTAAATTTTCATGCATAAGGGATTTTTATATCAAATCAGATCTAGTTTAATACCAGTTTTAATTTCGTGCCACACTGATGATTTTTCTTTTTCATTGTAACAACTCTCTAAAACCTTTGGAGTGAAATCCAATTCTAAAGAGTGACAATTAAACCAATGTTAAAAAAGAGTAGTTTAATTGTCAATTTTTAAGAGTGAGATTTTACTCTTTAGGGTTAAATTCCACTTTAAAGATTTTAGAGAGAAAAAAAAGGATAATCGCGTCATTCTGATTTTTCAGGGAAGATATTCGCGATGCTTTCCGTATGTGATAATGCAGTTCCGCTATTTAGCGGCATTTTATATTCCCAACTTTACAACGCTACAATAAAGACAGCACCAAACTCTTTTTATTGGTTGACATTCGTCACGCAAATTGCCGTGCTTTTAATAATTCTGTAAGTGAATTATGATTTTTGTGGAAATTTTTTCGTACATCATTTTTTTTCTCGAGTAACAAAATATACTAAACAACTGTGCCGCTTTTCTTAATTACCTTCGAATAATTCAATTTTAAAAAGTTATTATTTTTTTACAGATTGGTTCAGGTTTCATCATGGTCTAAGCATGCAACCGAGCAACAGGATTACATCGATGATGAGGTTGTGGCTCCATCTCTTTCAAATACTATTCAAGCTAGCTCGTCGAACAACGTAACAAACGAATCTTAGAGAGATTGTACCTGCCTTACATACATAATGCATTGAAGGTCATACCGTGTCACACACTAACATTTCATTTTATAAAAATTAAATTTGTAAATAGATAATTTACAGCTGTAATATATAATTTAGAATTTAGAATTTTTTCATGAAATTCCATTTATGGTACAATAAGCTCAAACTTATGATATATTTTTAAGTACCTATCAATTATTGTTATTTGGGGGGAGATAACATAAAATTAATAATGTTGCTTATCTTGCGATAAAATAATTTTTAACGTAGATTAATTTAATTACATAGGCCCAGTTCCACAACTCACGGTTATTCATTGTCTCTTTCCAATTCTAGAATTGGAAAGAAATGAGAAACAAGTTGAACCTCGGTTAAGAGTTAACCGTAAGTTGTGGAACTGCGCCATATATTCATTTGTAATAAAACTTTAGCAGTATACAGGGTCCGGCCGAATAATATGTAAAAGCGGGCATGACGTGATTCCTTATGAAAAAATAAACAAAATATATAGAATAAAATTTTTCGATCTTCTGCTTAATTTTCGAGAAAATCGAGTTTGAAAATCCACTGCGTACGTATACTGTTGCGACTAAGCTACGGTTCGTCGAGCGACGTATAACGCGCGTATAGTGTTTATAAACTATGTTTACACGGATTCTAAAAGCTAAGATTAAGGAAAATCACAAAGACAATTTTTAGTAAACAAAATTTTATTTTATTAATTACAGTATTGCTGGAACTGTTGTCCTCGTTGTCGGATACATAACCGTGCCCGCCTAATTATCGATGCCTGAACCCTTGGCAACGTATTTTGATTTTTTAATTACTCGAACGCGTGATTAATTGCTACTTAATTCTTACTGGAACAACATAACAGTGACCCACAATTTACATCGTTCATTTTATGGACAGATGAGGCATAATTCACGAGAGATGGTACTTTTAATATCCGTAATACACATGTGTGGTCTTCTCAAAATCCGTATGCAACGCGAGAAACTCATTTCCAACACAGTGTGAATGTGTGGGGTGGAATAGTAATCGGTAATCACATAATCGGACCGTACTTTTTGCCAGATATTCTAACAGGAGAAAGATATTTACATTTTCTTCGCGATAATTTGTCAGATTTGTTAGACGACGTGCCTCTTAATATTCAGGAACGACTGATCTTCCAGCAGGATGGTGCTCCACCGCATTTCTCCCGAGAGGTAAGAAGATATCTCAACAACAAATATCATTGTTGGACAGGCCGTGGAGGCACAATCGTATGGCCTTCAAGATCCCCAGATCTCACACCCTTAGACTTTTATTTGTGGGGACATGTTAAAGAAATAGTGTACAGCGAAAACCGGGACCAATTAGTACAAGCAATTAATCACGCGTTCGAGCAATTAAAAAACCAAAATACGTTGCCAAGGGTTCAAGCATCGATAATTAGGCGGGCACGATTATGTATTCGACAATGAAGATAACAGTTCCAGCAATACTGTAATTAATAAAATAAAATTTTGTTCACTAAAAATTGTCTTTGTTTTTCTTTAACCTTAGCTTTTAGAATCCGTGTAAACATAGTTTATAAACACTATACGCGTTATACGTCGCTCGACAAACCGTAGCTTAGCCGCAACAACATACGTACGCAGTGGATTTTCAAACTCGATTTTTTCGAAAACTAAGCAGAAGATCGAAAAATTTTATTCTATATATTTTGTTTATTTTTTCATAAGGAATCACGTCGTGCCCGCTTTTACATATTATTCGGCCGAACCCTGTATATTTGACGGTTTATAACAAAAAATATGAACTATGATTTGGAAAATAATATATGTTACAATAAATATGCGTACGAAGAAATGTCTATATCATTGTTAAGATGTTAGTATATATTTCTGATACAAAATAATTCTAATAGCTTCATTGAGAAAAACTATGAATTTAGAATAGACTGTGAGATGTTAAATTGTATAAATGCATTTGTAATACCTATATCTACATATCGTCAAGGTAGTATTATATATTTTAGGTTTCATTATATACTTCCTAAGATTATATTATATTTTTATATTACATCATTTTATAAATATATACGTATACATATATTTTTGTAAATAGGGGAAAGTTGCCGAATGCGTACCACTTAACCTATTTTTTATTATGTTTTCCATTTGGCACCGTTTTATATGCAAATGAATATTAGAAATTGTAGCTTGAGGTTTTGGACGCTTATTATTATATGTTTAACTTTCCACCAATAACAAATTAATTTGTTATAAATCTTTTT